CCCGCTGTGGTTTTTGCAGTTTCCTGTATAAAACAGGCAGATGCTGTGCGGGGGCCCTGTGACACGGCGCGAATCGGGGAGCTCTCCTAGAATCGGGGCGTGGGGTTCGTGGTTGCTTGGGAAGCAGTAGAGAGAGCACCACATTCTTTAAAAAAGAAAAATTACTCTTCACAAAAGCTTCTGCGGATCATACTTAAATCTGAAAGCTTTAGCTGAGGTCTGGAAGTGGACTCGATATGGACGGTGCTGTGTGCGGGTGGCTGCGCTTCTCGCTTTGTGCTAGTGATGTCTCCTCTCACCTCTTTGAAGCCGTCATGTCCCGGGAGAGCGGGGGCGAAGCGCAGCCGTCGCAGGGTGCTGCAAGCTCCGCGTCCAGCGGGTCGCAGGCCGCGAGCCAGTCCTCCTCCAGCTCCGGGACCCTCAGCTCGTTGGACACTGTTCCCACCCAGGAGCTCCAGTCGATTCCTGAGGACCAGGAATCTGAGGAGCTGGTTCCTCAGCCTTGGGGTCGCCTCTTTGCACTTGGAAAAGGTTTCAGCAACTATGGTATGTGCAGATCATACGTATGTCTCTTGATCCGTTTGTTCTGGAAAACTTGGAGAGCTTTGAGCTCTGCTTTTCATTTTCAAAGTACAAGCAGGTGGAAATAATGTGACTAATATTGCACAGTGAGCTAACAATTTAATCACAGTTTATTAATGGTCTAATAAAAATATTCAATAATAAACACCTCCTAACAAATACACTATTTAAGGGAACTATTTATAATGCAAAATAATGCTGATGGTACTCAATAATGCTTTTTACATTAAGCACTAAGATATACAGCTTCCATGGGCTTGGAAGTGGAATTCTGAGGTATTCAGGTTCCTTGTTACTTGCTTCATTCTCCATTTCATATTTTTTAATGCATCATATGAATCTCTATGTATTGCTGAATATGACTGTCTTTAATAAAGAGATTATGCTGTGATTAAAATACTGTAGCTGGCAAGGGAGAAGTTTTTCGCACTGTGTGCTTGTTTTATCTGAATTAAGATTAATAAACTTGGATCATATCTGAAGAATCTTGTCTTTGCTATTCTACTTATTATCATTTGGCATCATCCTATAGTGCCTGACTTAATAATTACTTACCACAATTTTGTGTTCTGTCTCTGCTTTACTTTCCCATCCTCTACAGACTGTGTGAATGATGAGTACTGGTTTGGAAGAGACAAAAGCTGTGATTATAGTTTTTCTAAACTAGGATTGTCTGAGACTGGCTTTTACCAAAACTATAGTAAGAAGCACTTCCGAATTTTCAGGGTAGGTGTTAAAAATGTTAACTGTGTTTTTCTCTCCTGGCATATTTCTAATGAAATCAAAGTTTAAATACTCTTCAGTGTTGACTCCTCTAACAAGATTCTTGGCAACACTTTATTAACCAGGTTTATGAAATAACCTGAGTAATGTTGAACTTATTGAGCTAATGGTAGTACATCTCTATAGTCTGTCACATCTTTACAGTAATGTCCACTTTCCATGGTGTTATATTTCCCACTTTTTTTCTTTCAGGAAATGGGGCCAAAAAATTCCTGCGTTGCCTACATTGAAGATCACAGCGCAAATGGAACATTCATTAATAGAGAGCTCATTGGGAAAGGGAAGAGGCTTCCACTGACTCACAACTCTGAAATTGCACTGTCTGTACAGACTAATAAGGGTAAAATATACTATAGCATAAGTCATTTTTTCGTGTATTGACCAACAGTTCTTAGTGCAAATTCGATTTTGTGTGTGTGTATAATTCATGTATATTATGTGTAAAAGCTGAGAATACAGTTACGATTTGATGTTTTAGCTCTCACATAAAAAATCTCTTTATCTAGAAATATTTAAAAGAAAAATTGAAAGCAGTTGCATCAGGAACCACCATGCCAAACTGTAAACTGTTATTGTTGTGTTTCTACTTTTGAAACATATTTTTGCTTTAATAGCTGCATGTGTGGTGGAGGAAAAGCGTAAATGACTATTAAAGGGAAGTGAAGAAAACACTTAAATGTCTGTTGTATAATATTGAAAACCCCTCTTAAAAATTAGGAGGGTTGTGGTTTGTTTCCTTATTTTCTCACCAAGATGTTCTGTTCTTGATTGTCAGCTTCTCTTTGTTCCTTGTTATGGGACTGAAGTTCTAATTTTATCGTTAAGTTTAGTGTTAATTGATTAAGTGCTATTATGTGGAGTTACTCTGATGACTACGTATAGAAATTATTTTTCAAAGTATAGAAATTACTTTTCAGTAATGAGATCATATTGCTAATGCATGACTAATGTCTTCTGTAGCATCAGTTATATTTTCTTATATATTTATGTTTTTCTTCTAGCAGGCAGCATTTTCTTGTATGTTGTTGACTACATGCTCAGGAAGAGTAGTTGTTTATTATAACGATTTTTTTAAGTTAATAACAGGAAAATGATCTCCACTCATCTTCCTAGTGTTTGTATTTTCTGATCTTATGGTGGATGATCAGTTGGGGTTTCCTAGAGAATTCAGAGAGAAATATATCATGTCAAAGACTTTGGGAAGGTAAGCACCATTCTTTCCACAATGCTAAGTGCTAATTTTCTTAGTTTTCAGTACATTGTACCAGAATTACGATCAGTGTTAAATAAGCTGCTGTTTTTAAAAATCCCACAAATATTTAAGATGTTTTACAGTATAGTAAAACTCTGTTTTTTTTTCTTTTGTTTTTTAAGTGGATATCCTTCTTGATGTCTTGATAACTGTTTTATTCTTTCAGTGACATGCAACAACTCAGTTTGATGAGGAATGAAATTCTTTGATTTTTATGAATTTTCTAGTCGGTACAAGGATATCTGGGATTGATATAGGTTAACGGAGACCCTGAACAGCTTTTGAGGTCTTCGAAAGAGGAAAGCTCTTTTTTTTCCCCAGAAAAAGGGCGATGGGCTATTTTACACAGTCACTTCTATTTTTTCTTGATTTTTCAGTGAAGAATTTGGAAAAATGATTAAGTGGGAACAATTCAGAGAGAAAGAATAAATAAACAAATCTGAAGGCTTTCTATAGTATTTTCTAATATTAATATTAATATTCTAATATTAATAGAAAATATTATAATTAATAGCAATAATTTGTAAAAAATATTTTATTGATACATTACTTATTTTTATATATATATTTACTAGGTAGAAAGGAAAAAGGGGGAAAAAGAAGTGTTCTTGACGTACCAGTTTTTCAGATTGGGCCAGTCTTGTGTTGCAAGGGCTCTCCAATAATTTTTCTTCTCTTCTTCAATATCAAAAGTGCAAAAGCACATTTATCTAGCTGGAAATGTTCACAGAGCTTGTCGTAGGCCCTCATTGATACCCTTTGTACAAACCAGTGATTTGCTATACATATTTCCTTTTGCATTTTTGAATTGGTGGTCCTCAACATCACTTACTATTTAAATAGGGCCTTCCTGACTCTTGAACATTTCCTGAGATAGTTTTGATGACTTGCTATAGTCAGAGGGCTGGGAAGCAGCAGCCTCTCCTCTAATTATATGTAATCTTAATCAGCCCAGTGCCTTTGTTTTGCATGTTTATACTTGTTATGCAGATTTTGAAAGCATTAACATAGCTGTGCTTTTCTATTAGTGGCGCCTGTGGAGAAGTTAAACTGGCATTTGAGAAAAGCACTTGTAACAAGGTTGCAGTAAAGATAATCAATAAACGGAAGTTTATGGCAAGTGGCATTAGAGAGGCAGTAAGTGTTTTTGTTCAATTTATTGGGATACACAGCCTTTCACTGGATGTTAAACAAAGGCTAGTAACGTTTTCTGCTAAAACCTATGCTTTTTCTAGTTCGGGGGGGAGGAGGTAAATATAGCTATTTATAGATGAATTAGTGGCATCAATATGATTGAAAACTGCTAAATGCTATTTTGGAGAATTTCTAGTAAAGATTAAGACATGCTGTTACAAGTTAATAATTACGAAAAAATGCCATTCTACCAAACAAGATAGGACCTCATCTGGAATGTTATGTGCAGAACTGGTTACGTGTCTTCAAAGATGATTCATTTAGATTGGAAGAAGAACAGAAAGTTTGCTGGCATAATTTTATGAGCTAAGCCTAAACCATGTGTTAAAAGAGATTTAATGAACTATTTATGTTACCTTGCAAAATAAAATCTAGAAGTGAGTAGCATGTATTTTAGGGGCAGCTCACTTGGGAAGCATCTCTGAGGCAGGAAAACTGTTTAAGATTGATATATGATTGATATATGCTGGTCAAGATTAACTTTTTATCTAGGAAATTAGGTGAAAAATTCCATTTCTTAGTGAAATAACCATGCCTGGAGCAGTACCTTGCTACAGATAGTGATAATGGCAGACTATTCGTTTAGTTCTTGGAGGGCACCTGATCAGTTAAGGAAAAAGGTTATGTGTTATGGTTGCTTAAAGTGGCAAGGGATGTGAAACAATTGCTTTTCTGGTATTTTATTTCTTAAATGTCTTATTTTACAACAACACTGTCTTATTCTGTATGGTATTTGATTCTTTCAATAGAGACCTGCTTTTAATATCAACACAGAAATTGAGATTTTGAAAAAAATAGATCATGTGAGTGTTACTCTCTGTTTTGATTACTTTTTACTGCCTACTGTATTTATCTAGCTCACTTAGTTAAGCAAATGTTCAGTTTTTACTTTTTGTTAAAAATATTTTGAAGGATGCTTATTCTTTTTTCTGGAAATAAGTTCATTGAAAACTTCTTAAGTAAGCTATGTCTTTACAGACTTGAGATTTTAAATCCTTGAATAACTGAAAAACTTGAATTTGGAAGGAAATGTCACAATTACATTTCTACCTGAGCAACTTTTGCAGATTCTTTTTTTCCTTGATGCATATTTTTATAAATAGTGTCAGATATTTACATAAATATATGTACAGATACAAACCTAAAAATTATATTCCCATGGCAGTTTTTAGGGTTTTTATCTCTCCCCTCTTTTTTTTTCCCCCCAAGAGAATTCATTTTCCTCTTTCTCAGTGCAAAGTTTGCATAATTTAGTTAATGTGCTCTTTAAATGCAACTTTGCCTATACAGAAAATATTGAGAGTTTTGAAGCTCATAATTGGGGAAAAAAAAAGAAGAGTGAATATTGAACTGAAGTTACTGCAATACTGATATTTTTGTGTGTGGAGGTACAGAGGAGAAAAAAACACGAGTCTTGAAGGTTTGCCAAGGCTTGGGGTGATAGAGCGTAAGTTTTAATTTAACTCGCACAGTTAAAATCACAGTGAAATAGGAAAATTTGGGATGATCAGTATTGGTAACAGTTTTTATAAATGATTCTGCTTTCTGTGTTTGTCTGTGTGTGTGTGTTCCCTTTTTATTAGCCTTGCTTAATCAAGATCAAAAATTTCTTTGAAGCAGAGGATTACTACATTGTTTTGGAACTGTAAGTAGCCTGTTTGAAAGTAAATGCATGAAATGAAACATTTTTCATGGTCACAAAAATGTGAATAGTTAGGAATCCTGTTTTTTGTTTGCTTTTTTTTTTTTTTTGTCTCAACAAGAGTCTGAAAACTCTCTAAATTTTATGAACTGTGATAATCAGGAGAGTGATCCTTTTACACTTTGAAGTGCCCAGGCAGTTGCCCACTGTGCTGTTGTTGTGGTTCAAAAGGTTGATCAAAAGTGCTGAACTCACAAAAACTCCTAGTGAAGACTCAGAAGACAGCTTAATTCAGCAGTTCAGATGCTGTGTTTAAAGCATTGCTCAACCGTTTTAAAAAATTAAACATATTCTTTCTCTTTAGCCTGAATAGACAAATGAAGTCATTTTGATTTCAGTTTTGTTTAATGAGATGCATCTTCTGGAACTAATACAGTGACTTGTTACTGGCTTCTCTTTTAGGATGGAAGGAGGAGAGTTGTATGACAGAGTGTCAAGACCGGTTAAGATGGAAGAATCTACTTGCAAGTTGTATTTTTATCAGATGCTTCTGGCTGTAAAGGTATATAATCACAGATTCCGCCAAAAAAGTATGGTTGTGTATGTGTATATTCATAAGATGATTTTTTTTCGGTCTTCTATCAGTTCTGAAATGTGTACAAGCAATCAGTGCCGTGCTTTTCATAAGCTAATTGAACATGATTCGGTGCCTCATTGCAGCCAAAGAACATTCAAACTCTCCTATCTATTAAAAGTGGGATTAAGCAGTAATGCACATCATGTTTATATAATAATGGTAGGATTATTATATGAGACCTTGAGCAGTGTATAGGCAAACAATTATCATTGCAGTCGCCTTCAGAAAACACCTGTGTTCAAATGCTTGCATTAAAATCGACATTTGAAGCATGATGGTTTCTAAGTTTGTTTCTTTGTTTTCTTTTTAAGAAATTATAAACTTCATAGCTTTAAATTCATGCACACATTCTTAGATGGGCATTTCAGTTATCCTACCATATCTGTTAAAAAAATCGGAAAACTCACATTTAAACAAAACAAAAGCAAGTAAGCCTGTCTTTTGATGTATGTGTATGTTTTTATGTATTTAGTATCTTCATGATAATGGAATTATTCACCGAGATCTAAAGCCGGAGAATGTGCTACTTTCATCTTCTGAAGAAAAATGTCTAATAAAGGTAAGAAAATTAAATTTCTTTTTGCTCATTGAGAAATCTGAAAACATTCTTTGTCATTCTTTTACTATTTAGTTATACAGAACAATAAAAAGTGTTATGGAATTAGTCATGTAAACTATTGTATTTTTTACAAACATGTAAATATTGAGGGATTTTTGGTAAATTTAATTTTATTGTTAGGGATATTTTGACCTATATGCTTATGTATGAACAACTGATAAGTTTTGTGTTTGATATCTTGCCTAGCACTTAATGGAATGTGCATTAAAATTTAAAATATTTCCTATAAAATTTAAGTTCTTGAATCACAGACAGCAATTTCACAAATATCTGAGCTGTTTGGTGGCTCTTTTCAGATAAAGCAGTGAGTAGGTTTGTACATTAACTGCTTATTTTCCAGTGGTCTCTTCTTAATAGGTAGATGATCTTTATCTTGAGGTCTTCAATGTACATTCAAATTTGAGAGGAACTTATGTCACTGCCAAATAGGAACCACTGTCATATTCCTCCCTTCTCCTCTACCCTTCTCAGTTGTTTAATGACTTTATTTAATAATGGTTTAGGTAACTTTGGTTCATAGTCATATACTGGAATTGCGCCTTGGAAATCAGACTTAATACACTTCCTTAGGTGTATTGATGCCATATATTGACATTGTATCAGTTTGACACTTTGTATTGTATATGATGGGGTGTATTACAATCAATCTTAATATGTCATATGGTGTAACTATTTTTAAATTCAAGATTACAGATTTTGGACAATCCAAGATTCTTGGAGAAACTTCCCTCATGAAAACATTATGTGGTACACCCACATATCTTGCTCCTGAAGTTCTAAATTCACTTGGGACTGCTGGATACGGCCGAGCTGTGGACTGTTGGAGTTTAGGAGTTATCCTTTTTGTATGGTAAGAAATTACATAGCTGTTACCTTGACTGGGTAGTCATTAATATACATGGCTGAAGACACGGCAACTTTAGTATACTTATTAGGAAGTGCCTGTGTGTTTAAAAAAAGATTACGTGTAAAAGATGCTCTGACAGCAGATGCTTTTAAACATATCATTTTCATTTGTCATCCTCTATTGTAAAATCTGCAATGTTTAGCTTTTTTTCTTCTTTTATATAGCTTGTGTGGATACCCACCATTTAATGAGCAGAATACTCGACTATCTCTGAAAGACCAAATCACCCGTGGAGAATATACATTTATTTCAAAAGAATGGAAGCATGTAACAGGCATGGGTATGACTCTATTACAATGGCTAAGAGTGTATCTAGCTCTTTCATTTTTTTCTTTAACTTCTTGCCAACTTTCAACTATGTGACACATTGCACACTGGTATGTTCTTTTTTAAGTTGTCACTTAAAGCAAATATTTCTTCCTTGATCAGAATTGAAGTATTAGAATGAGCAAATGATTTTTTTCTCAAAGAGAAGCTAGCTAAAAGTACCTCTCGTTTTGATGTTTAACATTATTAACTCTGAAAGCATACAGCTCTTAGACCCATATGTCTGTTTTTCATCTTTTTTTTTCTGACTGTATCAAGTTGGTCTGGAGGTTTTGCCTCGCTCAAAGATTCCTTTAAGTTTTGAACAAAAAACACCTGGAATTTGAAGAGCGTGTGTTAGAATTCAAAGAGAGAAATGTGAAAAGTAATTTTAAGCCTGAAATGCAAAGTCTAGTAGCATGAAGTGTCAACCATGCTTATGAAATAAATTGTTGACTTTCTCCCTAAACTAAGTATTCTGCAAAGCTAAATGAGTTTTTGCACAACATTACTAAAATGATAGTAACTTGTCTGCATGCTTTTTCTTCTTATGACATTTTAAATGCATAAAAAAGTCATATTGTCATGGATAATCCTGTATATATGCAGAGATGTTTCTAACAAATGGTGTGATTACTGTTTTTCTAATAAGCTTATCCAGTGTAAACCCTTACTGAATTTTCTGAAGCTCATTCAGTGATAAATTGGACATAGTAAAGAATAGAAAGTATGTTAAGGTTGTAAATAGTCCAAAACACCTATGAGTGTTTAACTTAGGATCCTATTTTATAGGCATTGCATACAAAAAAAGTAAATATTCCCAATAATCCTTTATGGCAGATTGGTAATGATTAAATATGACATAAATACTTTCTTTTTCACAGTGTTTATTAAATATTTTTCTATGAAAATGAAACTATATGTAATCATTTTAAGCATACGTTTAGTGTGAGAGGAGTATCAATTTGGGAAGAAGAAAAACTCGTGCTTTCCAGAACAGCATATACTTCTTATGTTCTTATTTTTCCAGTAATAGGAAATAGATTAAGCTGCCTTTGCATGTCCACAGCAATGTTGACGCTTTTACAAAGTATTGTGCTTCCTGTGCATGCACAGGAACATAAACTGTAGACATGCTCAGTAAATCTAGTGCTAGCGCTGATATATTGAAAGTGTTGAATTGTGTGTGCATATGATGAAAAATGGCTATGGTGTGCAGTTTCTATGCACAGAAAAAAGAAAAATGATCTGCCCAAATGGTGTTTTGGGGCATTAGATGTAGTGCTTCACAAAGCTTTGGTGTATACATATTGCCCAACTTGTTTTCAATATATTAACCAACTCGTCTTCTTAGCTCTGGATCTTGTGAAGAAGCTACTTGTAGTTGATCCAAGCAAACGCCTGACAACAGAGGAAGCCTTAGAGCATTCCTGGCTTCAGGTAAGAGTTCAGTCTTTGTTGAATTACAGCAAAGCTGTTCTTTTTTTTCCATTCTTAATGTAAATTCAAAGTCAGTTCAGTAGTCTGAAATTTGTGAGCTTTTGTTAATACCATATGTTTTGTGTCTACAAGGAAGCAAGGGAATGGTGGCTATTGGTGATCAATGGTCACCACAGATCTTTGTATACCAGATCTCGCTTCTGTGGAGCACACCATGAAACAGATACAGTGATGAGCAGTGAGAACTCCAATTCTGTAGCTTCATGGGAATAACAGCTGTTACCTTAGGTCAGAGCGTAAGTCTGCCTGCCCACAAGCTCTCTCTCACAGTAGCCAGCAGGAGAGCAACTACTGTTTTGTGCTTCTCACAGGCACTGCTGCCTGCCTGCCAGCTGAGTGTTGTTTCTGTGAGACTGGTGGGATCCTACTGCCTATTTATGGAGAGAGAAGAAGAGTAGAAGGCAAGGCTGTGTATCTGGAAATCGTTTATTTCTTTTATTGCAATTGTCAATGACTCACAGGAGGAGGAGCCGCAAGATTCCAACCTTTAGGATGATGTTAGCCCAGGTGCTGTAGCCACCATCTTCCTATTGGGTTTCTATAAACCAAATAGTGAACATCAGAGAGACTTCTGCCTTGTCTCTCTGTTAGAAGCAAGATGATTTTGCAGCTCTTTGTGTGTCAAGAGTTGGTGGGATGGGACCTCCCCTCTGTCAACCCTCTCTGCACTTACCTCATATTGTCCTTAGAGCATACAAAACAGACTTGTTTCTTTGCTCTCCCAAATCTGCACGCAGCTTTCCTCCTATTCATGTTCTTGGATTTTCTTCTAGCAATGGCAACTACTCCCTCTGCTGGTTTTCATTGCATTTGTCTTCTTGGTCCCTTTCTCTGGCTCTCTTCAACTGTTACTGATGTTACTCCTAGTCTTCCAGTCTTGCTGAATGTTGTCCGGTGCCTTTTCCCATCCTTCTTTTTCCAACTTCTCCTTTGGCCTCCACCTTGTCACGGTATCTGCACATGTGGAGTATCTCCCTCTCTCTCCCAAAGGTCACATGATTAGTTTATGCCCGGTTCCCTTTCCTTCAGTCTGGTCACTTTTCCTTCAGCCTTTGCGCCTTTGTGGTCTTAAGCCACATCTTTGTGGCTTAGCCATTTACTAGCACTGCAGAACCCATGGACCCTATACCCTCTCTGCACAGGCTGGGGGCATCTCTCAACCTTGGCCAATATGATTACCTCTTGATACAGCCTGATTCATGCTGGAATGTTATCACTGCCTGTGTTGGAACCCTTGGCAACAACGATATGAAATTGCATAGAAAATCTTTTTGCTGTTGAACGAAAGAGCTCTGTGATAAAGGCGTCTCAGCGCAGCCGGAGTCTTCCTGAGTACTACGATTCTCCCAGACTAGGCCGATTCTATCAGTTAATCCATCTTCAGTAACCTCTAATTGAATATTAACTATTCAGTAATACTCAGATAAGGGAAAAGATTTCAAATGCTATGTCATATTTGCTCTTTGGGGTTCAGATCCAGGAAGACACTTCAGAGTTTGTATGATGGCTATTCCCCAGTGTTACTACAGGTGTTTAACTTTACAATGCATATAGAACAGAATTTGCAGTACTGAAGGGTTCTTCTGCCAAGCTTATCTGGGTCCTGTTCTAACTCACCACCTTTAGTTGAGGAGCGTGTCACTAGTCTTCCAGTCCTGCTATCTCTGGCCTGCCTCCTTTGTAGGAGGAGGAAGAAACAGATGTTGATGTTCAGATAAAAGATTTCAGTAGTTCTACTGGTAAATACCAGCAACGAGCCCCTCATGGCCTTTGTTCAGGAGGACTTGGAATGGGTAGACCTTGCAGATATCTTTTTGGATCAACATTTTAGACTGGTGGTCAAGCACAAATGATAGGTACAATTCTTTCCACCCATGTGCTATTCCATTCAGCATGTTGCAAGCCTGCTGCTGTATTTAATATCAGCTTCTCTGCCATATATTCTCGTACCAACCTGTTGGCTTCTGTCGCAGGCTATGGCACCAGTTCAGCAGCAGAGGCTGACAGGCTTTCTGTCTTTATTTTTGTAGAAGGATATTGGCCTTGAGATAATTTTGTTGTTCTGGTCCTGCTTCAACATCCTTTGTATGTCTGCATGACTTGGTCTGAATTCAGTGGAAAATCCTGTGTCTCTGCATTTTTTTCTTGAGCAAATAAAGCCCAGTCTGCATCTGTAGCAATTCAAAACTTTGAGATCTTTAGTCCAGAGATGTCTGTAAAAAAAAAAAAAAAAAGCCTAGAGTATTCCAGTACATACCTTTAATACAACTGACAGCTTCTGCATCCATTCTGAGATGCATCTTCACAGACTTCTTTAACACCTTCTCTGAGAATTGAAATGTGGTTTTTGGAGACCAGCTCCAGTTGTGGTTCCTGAGGGAAGGACCTCTTCCTTTGAACACTGAAGAGAGTTGCACTCTTTTTTTTGTGTGTGTGGGCCGGCAGTGCAGCATCCTGCAGATGGTGGTTCCTGGCAGGTGTTTGGTAGTCCTGAGTAGGAGGTCCTGACTCTTGATTTTGTCTAGTTACGTTTGTGGGAGGTGGTCTTTATGTTTTTACTTTGGCACCCCAGTGGTGACTGCTGGACCTGTGAGTTTTCTTGGCTAATTTTTATCCAGGTAGGCTGAGTAAAAATCATCCAATCTGCCTCTGAGCCACACATCAGGTTCTACCTATTCATCCTGTGTATAGTGCTATTCATAATCCTCCAGTGGTAACAAGGGCTAGTATTAAATGCTTAGGTAAAGAGCTTAACAAACAGGGTAGAAGCAGTGAAGTATCATTCTGTGCTCAACAGTTGGCAGTGTCCTGAGACAGAGAATGCATTTGGATGTTTTTAAAGAGTCATGAACTTGTCCTAATTATATTGCTGAGTTTCAGAAAATTCTTCCTAACATTCCTGACTTTTACTATTTTAGTAAAGCTATTTTACTATTATTAGTGAGCAAGTTCTATACAAAACTAAAATAAAAGTGAGCTAATTAACTGCAGAGTTTTACATCTAGATTATTTTTTCTGAGCAGGATTGTCATTGGTAAGCCCTGTTACACTGATTCTAAGATTCAAAGTTATGCATAATAGGAAAGGGGAAATACAAGATAGTGATTCAGGAAAGTTCAGAAAGTGAGATATTTCTGTATGTAAATAGTTTTAGAATCTTTATTTCTATATTCCTTTGGGAAGAGCACTTATTGCAATGCATGATTTTGAAGTCAAAACAGAAAGATTCAGAAGATATCATAGCTGTAAGCACAAGTATCATTAGGGTTCAGATGCTATTCTTTAAGCTATTTCCCTTCATGGGCTGTTACTAAGAATATCAGTTGTTTATAGGTGATGTACACTGCCTGCTTGGAAGGCCAACATCCAATATGTTCAGTTCTAGATATCACACCTTGAATACTACCACCAAAAGAGCTACTTGAGTGCTGTTACTGTGAGTAGTGAGGAGGAGCTACTGGCTCCCCACTCCCTCTTGCTTTGTCTGTAAGTATTGTCTTTAAAAGTTAGTACAAAAAAGAAAAGCAGCAGACATATGCTTTGTGTGATGCATGTTAACGCTCTAGAGATTTTGGGTCCGCTAGAGAATTTTTCATTTATTAAAAGTAAGCATGTTCTTCAAAGAAAACTTTTTCAGTTCTTGTATAAACCAATAAGGCTTTCAAATTAGCGTTTCAAATACCTGTGCTGTTTGCCTCCATTCTTTGTTAAAATCAAAAGCTTGAGAACTTAGTGGGCTGCTCAGAACTGAATACTCATTGGAGATGCCTTACCTGTATTTACCTGAGTCCTCTGACATTTACAACTATAACATCAAGAAATCTGTGTTAACAAAATAGTTACTTAATAAAACCTTTTCCAAAGGCATGTAAGCTGTAAGTTGTCTGTGCATCTGAAATTTTACTATGATCCTTTGAATGGAACAAGATTAGTTTGGTTTTGTGCTGAAAAATAATTCTGTTGTTTTGTTATATACATGAAAATACTTATCTTGCCTATCAATTCAAATTCAAGTTCAAACTTGGCCAAAGTCAAAATGTACACTGGAAAAGGAAGGTCAGTCCAAATTCTGTATAAAATTAACTTGATGTTCACATCAAAGCCTTTTTGTAGTACTTAAGATCATACTTAAAGCAAAAATGGACATACTGCAATATTCCATAGCTTTGAAAAAGAGCCCTCCCTGCCATTGCTTGCCCTGCTCCCCCCCCAAAAAAAAATGTTAAACTGTTATATATTTGAAAATCTTATTAGTTAGAAAATCCTTATTTCTGATTGTGTCAATATTGATGACTGTCCCATTCACTTCTCAGTTTACCAGTCTTCGCAATGATGATGGAATGGATTTATTACACAACCTGTTAGTTTCAGTCTGTTGTTTAGAATAACAATCCGTTTTTGGTTCTAGATCAGCTGTTCAGCTGGTGCATGTGCAATCTCTGTTCAATCTCAGCCAAAGGAAACAGCCTGTTATTAAGTCACTATCACACTTCAGCTAGTCCTGGGAAAGGTTTAAAAAATGAGTTTCAGCTTTGGAAGCTTGAGTGAGGGTTTGCAGGAAATTAATCCATGGTAACCTATTCTAATAAACTCCTGCAAGAGAAATTGCTGAAATTAGAGAAAGAGATTTATTTTTAGAACAGGGAGTACTATGCGGAATAGAAATCTCTTTGCTCGTTTCCTGTTTCCCTGAGCTTGCCCAGCTCAGACCATGAGCAGCCTGGTCACTGGCTGCTGAACCAGCTTTGGGGCTATATGCTAGCTTTTTTCTTGAAACTCTTCTGAATTTCTATTAACGTTACTGTTCTCAGCAAACAATCTGTGCTGCCTTTCCAGCCACTTAATGCTCCTGCCTGTTTATGCACAACTGGGACTAATAACATCCTTAAGTCTTCTCCTTTCCAAGTGTACCTCTCCCTGTTGTTCTGCCTCTATTAATGCCATCTTCTGGCTTGCCATTTTTGGTCTGACCTGGTAAACAGAGCTACCATAGTAGTACGAATGCAGTGATATTTCTTGATAATCATTTAGTTTTTTAAAAGGTAAAACTTCATTTGAGCAGATGCTTGTCCCAAACCTGAATGTTTTCTTTACAGATGTCTCCATTTATGATCTTTAATATGTAAAATGGACTTACTGACATTAAGTATAACTGTGGGGTATTTTTAAGATACAATTTTGTTTGAACAATTTTTGTAAGATATAAGTGTTTTAGTTGATTCTTCTCTTGATGTCAGCAATTGTGTTCAATTCAGGATGATGTCAGCGTATCCTTTCCACAAGGGCTGGTTTCTTAAACCTTGGACTAAAGGATGGGTTGTGGTCCCTGTTGTAGTGTTCCATAGCAACTGGGGACTAGCATTACAGATTCTTTCTCCTAGCACTATACATTTCCTTTTTAAAATGCTGCTGGTGGTGGTGATGCAAGGAATAACATTCATGAACATTCATTCATTCCTTTTATTACTCTGCAGAGAGGTTTTTTTTTCTTCTATTTTGAGGGCAGAACTGGAAATAACTGCTACCTTTAACTCTGCATTAAATAATGTGTTTTAAATATTCTTCATGAACAGTCACGTTTCTTACAGATGCTTGAACTAAATCTTTCAATTTTCATATAATCATCAAAAAGTGAAGTAGATTGGTGAGTTTTCCATAGCAGTATGTCAGTACCACTATAGGTTTTCTTGCAACAGTTAAGTCTGCAGTGCCAAACTTGTTCTTCAGTGTGTGGGGGATGCTCAGTATCCTGGCAACGTACTTTGAAAATCCTTAATTGTTGATATACACAGTTAAACAAAATGTGGACTTTTCCCTTGAATATTCCATGTACTAGAGTTACCACCTTTTTCACAGGATGAGGATATGAAGAGTACATTTCAACATTTACTTGCCCAAGCAAATGCCCCGATGAATCTACCACAAACAGCAAATGCCACTATGAATCCACCACAAACATCAAAAATGGTATGTATAACAAATCATTTGAAGGTTAATGCTTGATACATAAACTAGATTCAACGTAATCCATAATAAGAAAATCAAATCATTTCCAGAACTTATTGTAGAAGTGTGCATGCTAGCTGTATGTTCTAGCCCACTATATATGTGATCTCTGCTTTGACAAGACTTTTAGTTTAATATAAAAACAGTAAAACAGTAAAAACAAAACAAAAAAACAGTAAAAACATATAAAAATAGTGTATGAGGCATTAAAGGATTCTTAGGTTTAAAATTCATTTCATGGATGTGTATATTTTGTTTAACTAGTGTATGAGGCATTAAAGGATTCTTAGGTTTAAAATTCATTTCATGGATGTGTATATTTTGATGGATTCAAGTCATGAATGCTTAACATTCAAGGGAAAAAAACGCCATGGTGATGAAAGTTTGGAAAGTTTTAGTATTGTGACATTCATTGCTAGACACTAGTTAGGAGATTTTGTAAACGCTAGTGAAAGATGAAGCCGACTTTGTTAAAAGACGGGGGGCAGTGGAAGCGGGAAGAGGAATGATGGTGTATTATGTAAGAAAAATTACGTATGATAGATTATAATAGAGAAATACTTGTTAGTCCTGCTGCTGTTCTGGTTACAGGAAGGAGACTTTATCTGTAATTTTGTAGCAGGCATGACAGTCAGGCTCTGTCTTATCTGATTAATATAGTCATCCTGCTGCATCTTTCTTTTAGCCAGCCACAAGTAGAAAACGTCTCCATGAAAATGAGGAAGAATCTGGCTCTTCTAAGCGTGTTGTTCCTTCTATAGCATTTCAGAAAATGAGGTGAAAAAAAGAAAGTGACTCTTGTTAACTGTGGTTTTTCTTTATGTAAAGCAGACTTTTTATTAAAAATCTTAATTATGGAATAACTGTTGAAAAAGCAATTGTTAATAAAAACAACTTTGTAAAAGTGAAGTGACTACTGTGTATGCATGAGAACCTACACACACAGTCATGCTGCAGTTCATCCAGCTGTCTCACGATCAGCAAAATTAGCATCTGTTTCTTGAGTGAAGTTACTAAAATTTTTAGACTACGTTCATCACCAGCTACACCATTTCTTACTTCTTTTCCAGTGTTTAGCTTAAACATAGAGATGATGCTTACTGTGCTCACAGGTAGAACAGGAATACTAAGTTTGCTGGGCTCTTGTATCATCCAAAATGTTGCCTGCAAAATGCTGACCCTAGACTTCTAAATCATACCTGATATAGCACCTTCTCTTTTTTGTTCCGCAGATCCATCCTGAAAAAATATTAGGGACCATTTGTCATTATCTTAGTCAGTTCTAAATAAGTACTGATGGAGCTTGAGGCTGTCTGGACTCCAGATGAAGGTTAATGCTAAATACTGTGCTATCCTACGCAGTAGTATTGTGTTCTGTGGAGTGGTTGATAACCTCTGCTTGAAAGCGTATCTCCGTGTAGGTGCTGTTGGTCTCTTATTGAAAAGTGTGTACTGTGCTTGTTTGCCGTAGGATGGATTAAGAAGAAACATAGCAAATGATGTAATGAAGATGGATAAGAAGTTCCTTTTCCTGCAACAAGGAGAAAGAAGAACAAGGAATTGAACTAAGACTACCCATATTTAATTTGCTGTTCGTTAAGTGAATTTGTTTGAACTGTGTGCTTACTACTACAAAGGCATCAGTTCCATTATTTACTGAGAGCCAGGGAGGAATTGGGTGGCTGTGTTTGAAAACATGAGTTTTCTGTTTAGAGGCATTTTCTATAAACAGAATTGGAAAGAATAAAGTCTAATAATGCTTTATGAAATAAACCAGTGACAAGATAACATGTTCATGAGGCAGGTTTTCCCACATCTGCCTATTGTAGAGGGCTGGTATGTTCTGAGAATTTTGATATTAGCCATTGTTAATGATAAAATGGCATTTCTTGTACATTTGTGTGTTTTCTTCAGTGAACCAGAAGGAGGGGTGTGGGCTTTTGAATGAAATACCACCAGTTTAAATGCAATGAACAGATGAGAAACAGAAGAAACACATATATCCTGACAACACTGACTGCTGGGCAGGGATGTGACTGGTTGGCCCATCCTCAAAAAATGCTGGTGCAAAGGTCTTGGCTGCCATTTGCTAGATAAAAGAACTGTAAAGAATGCTATGTGTTTGGGCTCAGTTTTTGATGTAGTGTAGTGCACAAGCTGATGCCTATGCGATTTGGTTGCCAGTGATTTTAGGAAGACCTGTTTCATTCTAGAGAGAAAGGTAATTCATTAGCTACCCCTTACATTGTAATTTAAGTATAATGGTCCTCATCTAGAAACAACAACAACAAAAATTGACCTTGATTCACCTTACCTTTTTCCACCCCACTATTAGAGTTCCTAACTGCCATCGTGGACTCTTTCTTCAGATCCTGACGTGAGGTTTGTTTCCCAATGACATTTTAATTTTCATCTAAGTCACTCAAAGTCAAACTTTGGAACTTATGGCTCATCATAATACTGCAGAAAGCTTTCTGAAGTCTCAGATTTTTGTATTTTCCTTAGGAGAGAGTGAAGTTGTAGGGTGTTATTAAATTCCGCTCTATGGAAGTAGTGTCTACTGTCCGCTTAGTCACGAGGTTAATCTCCCCTGTGTTCTCACTGGAGCAGGAGCTGCAGGTGCTTCGTGAAGTTGGCATCCACAGTGCAGGTGCAGGCAGCGTGCGGTGCTGGTGCGGGTCCTGCTGCGTTGGGAAGACCTCAGCCCGGCTGTGGGTAGGAG